GACCTATGGTGGTAGTGCAGGGTTCCTGCTGCAGGAATTTCACTCCAGATAGCCAGAACTCTTCCTCTTCCTCCCTTTCCCCAACCCCAACAGAAGGGTGGAGGGAGTTTGGAGCTGAAACACCTTGCCGTGGCAGGATGGCCCAGCAGTGGGACAGGCCCTCTACATGTTTCATGTATTATGCCATTACATGGTTAGTTGTGCAGTTAATTTTAGATTGGCTATATGTCCAAATTAACCATCATGCCTTATAGCTGGTTGGACTTTAAAGTTAGAGCTAGAAAATGTGTAATAACTTTATAGTTGGTTTCTATCTAGCTTTAATTTGCATGTGTAGCGTAGTTACATCCCTGTGGTTGGGAGCCCTGTCAGCTGGCAGGGTTCCAGCCATGGGGGTATACCATCTGCTGCTGTGGCTGTCAGTGCTATCAGCTGATGGGACTCCCAGCCAGGGAAGTGCCTCTGGCCTGCCATGGCTGGCCCTCTCATCAACTGTGGGGCTCAGCCACTGGAGCTTGCTACTAGGTAGCAATCTTGGGCTCCTTCTGCACTGGCAGTAAGGCATGATTAGGATCTGATGCTGGATCCCACAGCCATGCCTCCTACTGTGCACATGTGGCATGGCAGGAGGTGTGACTGTGTAGATTGTGCATCAGATCCTATTGTGTTTTTACCCTGAATATCTAGAGGGGCCCCTAGTGGATGTGCAGCTAGCAAGCTGTTCACCCAAGCCTCTCTTCACCTTCCCTCCTCACCAGGAGAGGAAAAGAACAGCACTGTGGGATTCTGGAGGAACTGTGGGTCCTCCTGTCCCTCTTCACATGTAGCAAAATAAAGGAGGGGTTATTTTGAAATGTTTTGAAGAGGTACTCTTTTTGGAGCATTTTATCTGCTTTTGGAACATTTTCAAAGTGAATGTACTTCTGTCCAGCTGTCCCTTCAAAATATTTCAATTGTTATGTACACAACTTATTCCACACCCAGCTTTTGGATCCTGTGTGCTGTCAAGACCCATGCATTTTATTTTTATCCACTGAAAGAGGTGTATATATGTGTAAAAATAATGTCTCCTTCCTTAAAAATTCCTTGGTGTCTTGTTTGTTTGGGTTATTTGCATGTCAGGCAAGTCCCTCTGGTTCTTTTCTTTTTCTGTTTAGTATTCTGTTTGGGTAGTGCTATCATCCTCCCTCTCTTCCTCACCCCTTCCAGACAGATTGTCCCTTTTGAAAGTAGGCAGGTGTCACACCCTGCGCTTTTTTTTTTTTTTAACAGGATTTTCAGTTCTCCCTGTTCTGGAGTGAGGTTGCTGGTAGTACTTTGAAAAGTGAATGCCTCAGGTTGTTACCCCTATAAAGCCATCTCGGTCAGTGATCTCAGCCAGGGTGCTGTGGCATCTTAGGTTTCTGCAAGATCCTTGTACGGGTGTTGCACAATATTAGCACTAAGTATACAAATACGTTTGCATGATACACAAGATAAACCCACAGATTTTAAATAGGAATCCTGTTGTGGTCCAAGTTCTTTGCAATGTAAGAATTTTTCTATTTTTCTGTAACAAGGTGAATTAATCAAAGCCAAGAGCTATGGAGACCATTGACTCTTTGTATCAGTCATAGTATCTGTTCTTAAGTTGCTAGAGGTCCACATGTCCTCTAAACCAGCCCCTCCCTAACAAAGTGAACATTTAATGTCTAAAGAAGAGGCTCATGTCAGCAGTTTACAGCCCTTTAGGTCTGAAGTGCTTAGTGCCCAAGTGTATAGGAAGCACAGTCTCCAGCCAAAGGAGTAAACAGAAGTCTGTATCTCTGCCAACGCTGCTGTTTTAATGTAATGTAATCTAATACTATTCAGCCACTAATGCAGGTGAGGAACTGATAACTAAGTAGTAACAGAACTGTTCTACTTGTTTGAATGGTATTCTTGGAATTGTTTGTCAGCAAATTAGGGGTGATGACCTATGTCAACTGCTGAACAAAGTCTGCATGAACATGTTTTCCTTGATTGCTCATTGATACACAATTATTGAAAAAGAAAAATGCTTATAATACCTTAGTCCATCAAGCACACTCTTATCAGGATGGTTTATCACATATCTGCACTTAAGTCTCAGAGTTTGGCTTCTGCATTTTAAAGCTTGTTTTGCCTGAGCATTTAGAGGATTCAAAATAAGATTCAGGATGTAGATCAGTGGCTCTCAACCTCTTCAGAGTTGGGGCACCCCTCCACAACTGTTTTGAATGAGGTAGCATCCATGATTGAGAATCACAGAAGTGAAGTTGAGCATGACAATGGTTCTCAACCAGGGCCACACTCTGCCAGATAAAATTGCCTTGTGCCCTTGCTGCACAACCAGACTGCAAGGTGTGGCCCTTGCATCTGCTCTTCTCCTGCATTAGTTTTCTCTGATCAGACTAAAGCAGGAGCGTGCACATACCGCAGCTCTGCATGTGGGGCAATTTTACCTGGCTGCGAGGGAGGCTGCACCAACGGTTCAACACCCTAGGGTGCCATGACACATTAGTTGAGAACCAGTACTGTAGATATTTCTGCGCCATATCTCCTAGGTGTGGTGTTCCATAATGATGATTTGAAATGGCTTGTCTGCAAACTCATTTGCATGGTATGGTCCTTTATTTTCTTCCCAACTTCATCCTCTGAGACTGATTATATGTTGTTTTTCAGTGTTTGTCTTCCAATTTGTAACAGGCTTTAAAAGGTAGGATTCGGAACTAACGTGTGGCTACTCTGTTCTAAGGATTAACGTATATAAAGATGATAACCGTTCCATATTTGTACACTAGGATGTATTTTTAGGCTTTCTGAAGAACTTTTTCTAAACGGATAGTTGTTTACAGATGACCTTTGAATTGTTAAACTACAAGGGGTGAAAGGGAGGGGGGAAACCCTCTTAAATCAATCTCAGTCATTCCTGTGGGATTATTTACTGGCTCTTTAACAAATTAAAAAGTAATACCTGCTCATAGACAAGTACTTCTATCTAGTATTTGGGGAAATGAACAGAAACACAACACTTATACACACTGGTTTTGTTGGTTGTTTTTCCCCCTCTCTTATTCAATGGCTCAACCCCCTCTCTTATTAATGGCTCAACCATAGCTCAGGTGCCGTAACATCTGAACTCCAGTATGTAGTTGACTTGTAGGATGATTTGCTGAACAAAACTCTAGGCAACCCTGGCATGAAGGCTAGTACCGCTGACCTTCAACATCCAGAGTAAAGTGCCTGTATGTCCTGTTACTGATTTTTCTTTAATGCTGCTTTCTCTGTAAGGAAGAGAAGATTATTAATGAATGCTAACTTTATTTCCTACCAACCTGAATGAACATACCTTCTGAAATACAAAACATTATATTTGCTGTAATGAAAATTAAAAGCAAATGTACTTATTCTGTGCTGTTGAGAGGGTGCTGGAATTTTACTAGAAGGAAGGTGTTTTATTCAAAACCTTTTCTGCTTTTGTACCCTTTAGTTTTTTATAGTATAATCTAGATGTGTTGAAAATTTTCAACGTATTGTGTAAGGAGCATTCAAGGTGCCCAGAATCCATATTTTTTTTCAAGTTGTACTTGACTATTGAAGGACTTGGTGTTTAATTGATTCTGGTGCTGTTACTCATGTATCACTTTAGGTTCAATTACAAATCGTGATGTGCTATTTTTTTATCCCTTTTTAGCTACTGTTTAAATATCACTACTGAAAACATCACTCTTCGAGACTTTCTGGAAAAAAATCCTATCTTTCTGAGGTTCACTACCACAGTAGCAACCAATTCGTGACACGTGTGCCACAATTTTTGCTGGCAGCCTCCATGTGTGGCAATACAGTAGATTAGGGAGGGATTTAAAATGGGAATTATCACAGCCTTGTCTGTATCTCAGCGATCACAAAGTGGGGTGGTAGCTTAAAGAAACCAGCACACAATATTCTTTTTCTCTGCTGTCTTCTTCTAGAAGCAGATTATACAGTAATTTGGGACATTTACAGTCTCTATCATGAGCTCTTTGGACAGGGACTTTTGGGGGGGCGAAAGGGGGGAAGAGGAGGGTTTGATGCCTAGCACAGTTGAGGCTTTCTTGATTAGAACCTCTTGCCACTGTAGTATGTGCAACTTTTATTTTTTTAAAATAAATTGTGTTTTAGTTACATTGCAGCAGTGAACATGTTGCAGAGGGGGTATTTTCTGAGTGACCGCTACTTTTTTTTTCAGCTTGAGATGTGGTCTGTTTTGGGGTTTTTTGTTTGGTTTTTTTCTTTTTTACTGTGGGAGGAGGGTTGGGAAAGTTTAGGGTATAAATACATATTCACAGGTCTGAGGTAAAGCTTAAAAATCTGTTGCCTGCCAATTTGCATGGGAAATGTTAATACAGAATAATTTTTTGTTTCTGAAACTTCCTGTATGATTATAGAGTGAGAATGAAACATGCGAGCATCTGACAAAAAATCAAAGTGAAGAGACTGATTCTTGATTTGGTTTAACTATAGGAAGATTTCAGGAATGAAGATTTGAGGGAAGAAAACAAACATCCTTGGGGTATAACAACATAGGGGAAGTTATACTGCTATAATGAAATAAAGCTAATGTTGAATGTGCATGTGTTGCATATTGCCTCTACCCAGAGTTTTGTCTGCCTGTGTCCTTAGACCAACACGGTTATAACCAACAATCCTGAAACATGTTACTTCATAATTCTTCACCTAATGTGAAGCATTTTAGAATATGCCACTTTCTTTATGCAAGTTTATATTGGTTCTGCCATAATATTATAATTAATATTGGTTTCTGTTTTGCACCAAAATGGCTTAGATTTTTATAGTATTATACAAAAAAACCCCACAAACCCCAAAAATGATCTGCTGGAGTCATCCTCAGAATTTTACCTTTACTGAAGTTATCGGGTTCTATCAGTCAGCTTCTGAGGCCTAAACAATGAAAAATTGATCTTCTGAGCCTCACTCACTTGCTCATTTGGATTTATAAGGCCTGAAATGAACATATGGAGAGGGTTTTGGTGAGTGGCTTGGGGTTGTTTCAGTTGGTGGCATGCTTGGTAAATTCAAGAGTTGCCTGTAAGCTAGTATTCCTGGTGGGCTACAGTTAAGGTTGTGATACACATATGAGGTATGATAGTTGCTGTACTGAAGAGATGTGCTTCTCTGCATAGACGGTGTGTAATATTTGATTTTCATACAGCACACCTCACCGAAGCTTAGAAATGTTTATGTACAGAAAAGCCTTAACTGGGAAAACAATAAAATCTTTGTGTAATTAGGCTCTAGGTTACATTGTTGCATAAGTCCAGGGTTTTTTTAATGGATCTACTGCAACTACATGTTAGGGATTTTTATTTTAATTGAGCTGTTTTTAAGCTGTTCTTGTTAGTATTTATATTGTTTCTAGCGTAAAATAGTCTAATTAAATGTTTTATGAATAACAGTGGCTACTTGATTAAGTAATGTAGTCTTCCCAAACTGTGGGTCACGACCCCATATGGGGTCACAACATCAGCAGATGAGATAAATGTGCCCCCTGCGATTTCTGTACCCACAGCAGGGTGCGAGGCTGAAGTTGGGCTGGACCAGCTCCAGGCAGGAACTGCCTTCGTGGCCCAGCAGGTGGGACCCATTGTGGGAGGGAGCTGCTGCATCACCATAGCTGCCAAGGTGAAGTGAGAAAGTGGTGCAGAGTTGTGCTCACGCTGCTGCCTGGTGAGCAGGAGACACCTCAGCTTGGCAGTCATGGTGGCGTGGCATGGTACTCCCTCCTTCTCTCCTGCACTGGGTCCTGGCCACTGGGCCACAGAGCCCCTGGGGGGAGGGCAGCAGGGCAAGGAGCCCCAAGCCTGCAGCAGGCAGCCTGCATCTTCTTCTGATCCCCACGGGCTCCACTCTGGCAGTGCTGCCCCCCCCTTTTGGCAATGCTGCCCATGGTGGTGGGAATGGGAGCCAGGCTCTGCACTCTGCTCTGGCCAGAGGAGCACCAACAGGGTCAGGGGGCCATGGGTGGGGAGAGGAGGACACCTGGGGTTGGGTGGGCTGCAGGCTGGGAGTAAGGGGCCATGCTGAGAAAATGGGATCATAAATGGGGTCACGCTGAGGAAAAGTTTGGGAAGCACTGAGGGTAATGCCCTCAGGTCTGACTTAAATAACTTTTTGTTGTTTTTTGAAATGGTTGCTTCATAAGTCCTACCTGAATCAGAGTAGAGCTGTCTCCTACAAAAGAGCATATCAAGGGGACCTTTTAATCTTGTTCTAGAAATGGAAGATCTGTTCAATCAGAATGTGGACTCTTTTTTTAACTTCTTCCAGCAGTTTCTATAACTCTCCAAAAAATAAAAATATTAAACTATAATCCTTTAGCCATTAATAGTTGCTGTCTTATGTAGACAGCCATAGATATGGGTTTTTTTGATGCTTTTCAACCTTTTGCTGGAAGTGGATTATGACAGCATCATTTTTGGACTGCAAGATTGAAATGTTAAATTTTGTTTTGCCCACCACTCTTCCCTCTACCCAACTGTGTCGGTTAACTTTTGTAGATCAGTCCTGTGTTGATATTTAAATAAGTATTCAGAATTCATGTTGTAAAATGATGAGACTGATACCTTTTTTTCTACTCACAGGCTCGAGTTCTGTATGACTTTGCTGCTGCACCTGGAAACAATGAGCTGACAGTTAATGAAGGGGAGATAGTTGTTATTACAAACCCGGTAAGATGGAGCAAGTGGAAACCAGGCTGCCATGCACTGACCTACTTTTAGAGATTTGAAGAGGGGCTATGTGACATCCAGTAGGAATGTGTTAGTTTGCTTTCCCTTTCTCCCCTAGGGTAATGGCAAATTAATTGAATTTGAGAGGCTCTTTCAGTGATGTTATGGATATAATTCATATTAATGAAAGCAAGATCAGAAGATAATAGGCTGCAACCTTACTACATGGTGACTAGACTTTTGTGTTCTCTAATCAGCTTTGTGCTATTAAGCATTCTGTGGTAGTGGTGTCTCAAAAACATGCTAATGATATTGACATCCTTTTTAACCTGAAGGTATTCTTTTTTTTCTTTTTTTTTGCTGTCAGCTCTGCAATTGACTAATGGTGATTTTTAGATCTAAATGCAGCATGTACATGTTCAAATATTTACTGTGTTAAAAATGCAAAAACAACAGTTTACACGGAAATGTTAAACTTCTGCTTTTTAATTAACCTTGTGCTAGTTAGGGCAATGTACATAAAGCTGAAGAAGATGGAAAGAGAATCTCATTCACCTTGTGAATATTTCCTTAGATGTTCATAACTTTGTCCTTGGTTGCAATTACAGCTTTGTTTTGGAATGATTAGAGATTTGAATGGCTTTAATTCTAATCAGCAGCTCATCAGACTCTTCAAAAATCTTCCTAGCTAGAAAAACATACAAAAATAAATTAATAAAATGCACCTAGCAAGTAGCTGAGTGAATTGATATTTTAATATTGTATTCACTCATCTTGGTCAAAAAAACCTCTTCCTTTTGCTCTTAATCTGTGGTACTTTTGGTTCTCATATGGAAATGTAGTTTCATTTGTATAGGGGTCCCTACAGGCAGATAGGGGCTGTGCTCTAACTCATGGCACTTTATATAAAGCACCATGAGTTAGAGCCCTCTCCCCTTCCCCACACCTCATTTGGCTGGGGCATGCCAGCAGCCTCCAAGAAAACTGCTCAACTGCCCCTTCCCTACCCCCCAGCTCTGGGGCTGTCAGCAGGGGAGGGAGAGAAGGGTGCAGCACATCTGGTGTGGACTGGGCTTTGCTTGGCGAGAGATGGAGGGGGGCAGGGTGAAACAGAACCCCCTCACCTCGTGCCTGACCCCAAGCTACCCTGCTGGGGTATTGGGGGAGCCAGCTGGACCACTTGGGGCAAGGAGTCTGTGTTCCACCCCTCCAAGCCCTCCCTCCAGTTCAGGCCAGGGCAAAACAGCCAGTAGCTGCTGCTGCCATTCTCAGGAGGCCTGGTGGAGTGGGGGGCAGGTTGGAACAGCCCCCTCGTTTTGTGGGCCTGCCCCAGCTCCCAGTACCCCAGCTGGGTTATTGTGGGGGGGGGGGGGGGGGAAGAGGTGAAAGAGCTTCGTTCCACCCCTGTGCCCACTCTCCCTATCTCCAGCCAGGCAAAGCTCAGTCAATAGTTCCTTGCTGCTCTTTTTCCCCCCTCCCCTCCCCTCCCCTGCTGACAGCTGGGTGGGCAGGGCTGGGTTGGTGCTCTACTACAGCACCAGCTCAGCCCTGTCCCTGCAGGAAAAAATTAACCCTCTAGGAAGCCCAAGTTCCCTAAGGCGCACACTGCTTTAGAGCACCTTTATTTAATACCTGATCTGATGAGTCTTAACTTTTTGTATGATCAACTATTTTAAAAGCACTCTGCGGCAGTGCACATCTTATGTCACAGCTGTAGAGCGCTTTCAGAGGCCTGATAATGCAAAAAATGTAGCTTGCATAAGTGCTCTAAGTGCCTATCTTGCTTTTTTGACAAAAGGGGTCTTATGGCTTCCTACCCTGATTGAGTAAAGCATTAAAGCAAGTGTAAGTCCTGTTGGACCTTAAGTATCTAATTAAGAATAGTATGGAACTTAAGTATATACTTAACTTCAAGCACTTAATGGAATCAGCTCCTTGGTAAAGAACAGGGTGTTCATGAGCATCAGTATCACTACAGATAATTGACCACTTGCTTGATAAATATAATCATTACATGAAATTGTGGGCAAGCAACTCAAACTTTTTGCCAAGCTAACTAGTTTTATTAATATGGCCCAAACTGTAGCATGTGCAGGTTCTGGGAACTTTCTGAAAACTGTTTAATTAGTTCACATTGAATTGTCAGTAGTTTTTTAACAAGGGTGTCATGCAATGTTAGCACTGTTAGGTATGTCAATATCTAGATGTTATTTGAAATCTGGGTTAATCTTGTGAATTATAGTTTGTATCAAAAACATTCTGATCTGGTGTGGTTGCTTTTGCATCAGAATAATTGATGTTTTTCTGTTTTAAAAAAGAAGTAAAAAAAAATGAAGCAAACCTTTTTTTTAGAATGGGATGCTGTTAAATTTTCAAGTTAGGGGTCTCGGATCTAAAAAGATTGAAAACCATTGGAATATGTGATTTATGCTTAAGTGTTAGTGAGCACAATTTAAAATCAAACTGCCTTCAAAAATTGTTTAAAGGATTATTGATTAGACTTTTGCTTATATCAGATCCTAGAAGTGTTTGCTGATTTGTCTTTTGACATGCACATTCCAGTTTATCTGAGAACTTTGTTTTAAGGGCAGGGAGAAATTACTGAAAATGAATAAACCTCTGTTTATTCATAAATAAATGAATAAGTATGTTTTGAAGTTCAAAACTTAACAGGTGGTGGTCTGCATACACCAGACTAATTACCCAATGTTAATTATCTCATTACACATCTGGGTATTTGAGACATTTTGTTAAAATTTAGATCAGTTTATTCCAGGTCACTTTATCCTGGTATTTGTCTTAACCAACTTTGGTAAAGGCCTGCAAAGCCTTTAAGTGTTCTGTTATTTAGTGTCTTGTATTAGTGTATCTTCCAGTTAAGAGTAAGTTCTATGTCCCATTGTGTTTAGGCCCTGTACAAACAGATAGTACTTTCTACCTCCAACAGCCTCTGCCCTAAACAAATAGACAAGGAAATAAAAGAAGCATTTTCTTTTTAGCCATAATGTTGTCCTTCTCTTCCTGCAACTAGCTCCATTTGCTGAACATCTTTCCAACTTCAACACAAGAAGGAGAGATTCTACAAATAATATCATTGCCTGTATCCCTAATTCATTCCCTGAGTGCTGCCCATCCAGTGTACTGAATAAGGGGGATTCCTGGAGAAGCACAATATGATCCTATAATTAGACTGTTAAGGTGTATGTGTGAAAGGGAGTTGAATTAAAGTTGAAAAAGCAACTGAGTTTTTCAGCACCTGAAAAAGTTTAATTGATTGTTTTAGGGATTTTTTTTGTTTTGCTCTAGGTTTTTTTTGTATCTAACTTTACAATTTTGAAGACTGTGAAACCTCACAACAGCCCTGTGAGATGGGCATAGTTAATACTCTACTATCCTCCATTTTTAATAAAGAAATTGAGACTCAAAAAAATCCATATTCATTTGTCCAAAGTCACACGGTTGCATCTTGATTCCTATTAGCAAATAGTGACCACGAGACCTTTCTGTCTCAGTTTGTATTAAACCGTGCTATAAAATTCATTTAGCAAAAGCTTTCTTATGTTGCTTTTATTTTTTTTTCCTTCAGGATGTAGGTGGAGGCTGGCTGGAAGCAAAAAATAGCCAAGGAGAGAGAGGACTTGTACCAACAGATTATGTTGAAGTAAGTTAAAACTAAATAACAATACATAAACCCTATTAATACGGAACTTTCTCCATGCTTTGATTCATTAATATTGGACCTTTTTTAAATCTAACTTTCTAGACTGGAGGCCTGATTTAAAGATGGCAGCACTTCAGTTCCACTAAAATAAATGCTGATAGTTAAAACGAGGCTTTTACTTCTGAGCAGCATTCTGGCACTGCCCCCATCTTGGGGTCCTTAGGTTAGGTATTCTCTTTCTGTTGTAAATCCTCTGTCTAGCATCCCCCTCCTGGGAGCTGAAACCCATATTCCAACTCGTTCCAAAGAATTGCTGCTGACTTCTCAGACCTTGTGCTACTGCCTTCCATAGCTTAAACACATTCTGCACCCCAGAATCGCACCAAATATGAGCCTTTGTGTTTACAGTTCTCGAACCCCATGTTGCCTTGAAGTCCAGAAGCACATAGATATAGATGTACTTTTTTTTTTTTGCATAGTGTCTGAACACCTCATTCTCTTGTTTAAAAGAAAATATAAAATACAGACCACCTGGTAAACTCCAAAGTTTGGAATGCTGTGCTCTGTCCTTTGGGTCTTTGGGCAAACTCAAGACTTGTATACTCGGACCTTGATCAGTTTAGTAGCTAAGATGGGCTCTTCCTGCTGCAAAAGCCTGTACATCTCTCTGCCTCCCTGCCCAAATACCCCTTCCCACTGTGTGGGTCTTTTGCCTGCTGTGAATCTTCCTGTCTTCTTTTGTCACCTGGGTTCAAGAACTTTTTAATCTCCAGACGCTGGTCTGAGTTTCGCAAACTGTCCCAAGTGGCTTACCCTGAAAACATGGTGGTTGAATTCTAACTTGTTCCTGGTGAGGCAGGAAATATGACCTAGCCCTGGCAGCCCATGATGAGTTACTGCCTGATATACCGGTATTCGGCGATGCATCAGTTTTCATACTATCAACCAAATTTTGCAAATTATACAGCTAAGTGCTCTAGATTCATTTCATGTCACATGGAGATCCTCTCCAAAGCCATTCAAAACAATGGACCATACTTCTCATCAGTATCTGAATTTGATGCATCATTGAATTTGGGAAGTGTATACAATACCCTGAATGTGTTGGCTTGACTCTTTTTTGGTGTGTTCTTTTTAAAGATCGGATTGTATCAGTGCATTTAAAATCCTTCAAGTCTATTAGAACAAATAAGGTGATTGCATGTAATTTAACTCGTGTAAGAGGGACAAATACCTTAAAACAGGTTTCTCTATTTTCAGATTCTTCTTGAAAGTGCAAAAGATGGATTTACTTGTGGCAATTCAACAGCTGACCAAGCCTTTTTTGATTCCCTTTCCTCAAACACAGCTCAAGTCAATTCCGCTGATAAAAGCAATAACCAGGTAGCCTTCAGTTTCCTCTTGGTATGGTAGGCATGGCATTAAGCAACATTTTGTTTAATATTAAATAATCAGCTTATTTGTTCAGCTTGCATAATTCAGAATGGCTTCCGCAGGAAAAATGAGCGTTGTGCTGAACGTTTTAGAAATGAAAAAATATGCAATTTTGTTTTCTTGAATAAAGTAGAACCATATAGTCCTTTATTTAATATAATAAAAACCCCTCTGCTGCCTTTTCCTTCCTCAATCTTGTGTAAATCTAGTAACGGTATATAAGCAACATCAGTTGCTTGTAGAATTAGTATTAAAATCTGATATTCTGACTCATGTGAAAGAAATCTACCTTCTTTCTGACTTTTTTGTGAAGTGTCATGCAAGTTGACACTCACAGAAACAAAAATAAATTAACAACAAATAAACTTGTCAATTGCTTTGTTGACATGAAAGGAGGTGCTGGTGACAGGGATCGGTCCTCTTAGCAGTTCGAGTGGAGGAGGGGCTGATCTTACCAGTTTAGAATTGCTCTGTGCTTTGCTGGTGGAGTATACCTCCTTTATGATTTGATTGGTCTTTAGCTGGTACATTTAGGTTTCTGGCTAACAAGCGTGTAGTGAATCTTGTAGTAGTAGTAGATCTTAACTCTAATACTGAAAAAAAACAAACCCAAAGTCTAGAAGATAACAAGCTAATACTGTTTGTAGAGAGAACCTTTCACATGTCCAAATCCTAGAAACAGTTCCAGTCTTTAAAGTCCAGAGGTCAACAGCAGGGTAAAATTGCTATATCCAGCGAAGCTGTGCAAAGGTCCTACATATTGCAAAGCAAATACTTTGCTTATCTAAATAGACAGCGAGGAGCATAATTCATGAGAAGCTTCAAAGAGGGGTTTTTGCTTTGTTTTAATTTCTGTTAAAGGACTTTAACATGGAATGACATCTCTTAGAAAAGTGTACCTAGAGATTTAACTGAGAATTAATCTGATGGCTCTTGGTTTTTGACATGGATCTTTTTTTTTTTTTTTTTTTTTAAGCATCCTTGCATATCCAGCAGGATCTCTCCAAGGCTAACATGGGAAAATTATTACCTGCCTACAAATACAGTGGTCTAATGGCACTGTCTTAATGAGTATCACTCCATTAGTCAGCAGCAGTGACAGATCACTGATGGAAGTATTGAATATCATCGAGTCTAGTGCTAATCTTTGCAGAACTGCACAAAAAGTCCCTCCTTAGCCATTTTGTTTTTCCCTATTGACAACTGACTTTTGAGGTTTTAATCAGTTCTTTAATCCATTTAACATTTGTTTTTATTGATTATTCTGTAGTGCTATTTTTAATTGCAATACCACGTGGTGTTAAGTCAAATGGCTTGTGGAAGTCATTGCTGTTAACTTAATTAAATGATTAAATCAGGTTTTATTTAAAGACCTGTCTTCCAGAAAACACACTGACTGGTGTTAATTATTTTTGTTTTTCAGTTGTTTGTTGATGGATTCTTGTATCGACTTTTGCATCACTTTGCTTGGGACTGTTTTCTGGCTTTTAGACTTCTTAGTGCTAATGACTGCCCAGACAACCATTATGGCAACATGCAATTGCCTTAGCAGCACAGATGACTACACACTCTGCTTTTCTGCTCAGCTCTATTATTGTCTTTCTAATTCAATATGTAGGTAGTTTCAAAGTCCTCCAGGGGATTGGCCCAAAGTACTGATGAGGGAATTCTCTTGCCATAATAGCCTGTCCTACCAAAGCTTATTTTATTTTACTAGAATAATTGCATCCTGTTTTTAAAATTGTAGGAGTCTTGGGGCGGGTGGGAGTTGGGGGTGAGGAGCAGGGATTCTGAAGAACGAAGTGTCTCTGTTTAACTTTTAATCCTGTTTAATCAAAATAGGACTGCTTGTATTAACTTAATATAGGCCGTTTACCCAATGATGCACTGAACTGGGAAATAACTGACAATTGCTCCTTTGACTTAATGTCTTGCTACTCAAAAGAATATATCTAGTTATATAGATATAGATGCACAGATGCTACATTTAGAAGATTGCTTGTTAGTAGAGCCAGAATATTTGGTACATTTATCCAGGACACGCAATAATTTGTCTTGACTTTGAAAGCACTGCAATATTAGTAAAATGAACATGAAACTTTAAAAAAAAAAAAAAAAAAAAAAAAAAAAGCTTAGTGAATGATCAGAATACCATTAAGTTGTTGAATTGTGAACAGTTTGATAAATTTGATTTGGTAGATCTGAATAGAGAATACCATTCATGCATAAGTGGAATAATTTGGCTATATCCATGGAGTGCTGTAGGAAACGTAGTGAATTGAAGATGGTGATATTAGCAACAGTTGGAGATCACTGTAGGGTCTTAAATGTAGCTTTGTAAAAGTTGAAATGCAATGGTGCATTGCTAAAGCAAAAAACCCCAAGATTTTTAAATTATGGCATTTTGGGCAATCTTCTGTGTGGTTTTTTTTTTTGGTTTTTTTTTTGTAATGGCTGTTTTTACAAGACTGTTGCTAAGTGGGCATGATACTTTATTATTACAACTGTATTCAAGAAAACAGAAAAGTCACTTATAGTAACACGGTTCCATGTAAGATACAGGTAGCATGAAGTCAAAGGAACACTGATTAAATTCATGATTGTCAACTGTCCTCCCAGATAGGAGGAAAGTTGTTTTGTTGGTGCGGTGCACAGTCTTCCAGTCTTTTGAAAATAAAAATTAAGTCTCCTCTTCTAGTTCACTTGACAGGTGGGGGGAAGCCTTTGTTTTCCCTGTTTCTTTCTGCATGGGCTCTGTGCCCTTTCTGTCATAAGAAAGGATCAGTAACTTGGCCACTACTATACTTGATGTCTGGCCTTTTCACATCGTGTGAAAATGAATGCCTCAGCTAGTCTGAACCTCTTCTGAAAGAATGAGGAGTGCTTAAGGACAATCTGGTGCTTTCTTCCCTTTCTGCATCCCTGGGAGTCCTTGACTCTTCAAATGTAATCTTGGTTCCTGCAATAAACTTGGTTGTGTCCACCTGAAGTGCTAACAACTCTTCAGGAAAGGAACATTTTGGCTTTCAGGGGGGCAAAGCTCCAGTACTGAGGGTAAATTGATTTATATGTGACTTTGAAAAAAGAAAGAGAGAGAGAAAGTGAGTTGCTAGCCTTCCTAACTTTAAAAAAAATGAAAGTGTGCCTTGGCAGTGCAGTCAGGTCACAAATGCTGGAAGGAAAACAAAGTGTGTAATTTGTTTTAAATCTTGAGTTTTAAGGCCCGTTTTTACTAATTTTGTGTTTCTGGGATTTGTAATAGAACAGTGCTCAGAGAGGCAATAGTGCTTTCAGGTAGGGACTACTCAACACCGCCTGGTCACTTTTTAGATAAGTAGGCAAGCGGATTTGTTAAGCTTTTCATCCAGTGATTTGCTTTGAGATATTGAAAAGTGCCTCTGGGTGACTTTGTTATGAGGACTTGGTGTTTGAACAATGCATGATCAAACTATGGCTTTGCCATGACTTGGTGGTGGTATTGAAGTTAATGTCACCACACTCAATAGTAGGGAAGCATGAGGACCAGAAAGCCAGCAACAAGGTAGAATAGTCGATGTCAATAGGCCCGTGGGTACCTGAAGGAGGGCCATAAGGGCATTCATAGATGATGTGGTCAACCATCTGCGCTTGAGCACCGCAGCTGCCCCAAGAGTGCACGCCATGACTTGGTGATAACACTATATACCAATGACCTTACTAAAGAGAGAACTTCTGCCTAGGACTCAGGCCAGTCTCCCACCTTTTTCCTTCTCCAGTCCCTCCAGCTTTCCAGCAATAGAGATGTTGGGCAGGGCTCCCAGCTACCCTGCTGCTTTAAAGGGACTTTGTCAGTTCAAATGACAGTGTCTGAAATGGTTACACCTCCTGCCAATAAAACCAAAAACCTAAAATTGTAACTGAAACTCACTAGAGAAAATGACACCTCATGTGTGCTGAACAGCACTTTTTTTTTTTTTTTTTTTTTGTAGTGTCCATTCCATTCTTCTCTACAGCAGTCAGGGTTTTTTTCTCGTTTGTGTGGCTTTTTTTCTCTGCAAAAAAGAAACACATACTTTAAATAGGAAAATGTGATTGTGAAAGCACACAGATACGCAGGTGGCTTGTGGGCAGAATATCTGAAACTTCTTCTAACTTGTTTTCCTTTAACTGACTAGATTTCAAGTTGATGATACACAGGGTTACCATATTTCTAGTTTCAAAAAAGAGGACCTCTCAGGTGGGGGGTAATATGATTGAGGAGGCAGTGATATGCCCATGCCTTGCCCCTCACTCCTGACCTGCAGTCCCCTGGCATTGCCTGTTCCTGTGCTCCTGATCCACAGCCCTCCAGCCTTCCTGGTGCCCCTCACTGTGACTGCTGTGGCTCCTACCCTCCACCCCAGCCCTGCTGGTGCTCCTTGCTTCCAACCTGCTGCCCTGCCCCTGTGAGCACTGGCAGCAGCCAGCACCACATACTTCCCTGTTGGCCCTCCTCTGGCCCTTCACCTGCTGGAGGAGCAGGAGCCTCCCCCACCCTGCTGTAGCCCAGTGCCAGGGAAAACTTTGATGCTAAGCAGAGCAAAAGCCCAAATCCTGGAAATTTGTTGACATTTAAAAAAACCTGCCTGGATGGAGATGGGAGGACCCAACAAGAGGACATGTATGGGAAAACCCGGACGTATGGTAGCCCTATGGTAATACTTGCATTGCCCAGAGTGTGGGGTGCTGCATGGCACTTCAGTGCATGCCTGCCCAGCACTTCCTCCTGCTTCTGACAGGGGGGAGACACCAAGTCAAACTGCTCTGGAATTTTCCCCGCTCTGCCCACCTAAAAAGCAGGCAATCTCACTGTTACTCAGACCATTAAAAACCTTGGATGCAGACAGATTTTGGGGGGCGGGGGGGAGGGAGTGCAGGGAGCACTTAACTAGATGCAGCAGCACATTACTTTGAGCCAGCTCTGCAGTGTC